CCTATGATTCTATGCTGTACTTCCCTGAGTGCCTTTGCTCTGACGTGTATACTCTATTTATCCTTCTATAAATAACAATACAATTCAGAAAGGTGCTGTTCCGTGCAGTCTTTCCCTCACGGATTTGTCACACCTTAATCCTTCCCTGCATTATCCCAATCCAGGGCTTTTCCTCACCAAAATCTGACAACCCTACTGTGGTTCAAAGTTATGTTCAACTATCGACTAGAACTAGACCAATACCTGTAAACTCATTTAACTTATGAGCTAATAATTTAGACTTGGTCAGAAAATGGTAGTTGCGGGCGGGGGGGGGGTGATTGGAGGGGGAGGTTTCCACAGAAAACTGAGTTTTCAGAAAATTTCAAAAAGTGAAATATTTCAGCCAAAAACCAAAAATATTTTGATTTGGAAATGCTTCTGAGGTGCCTCATACTCCCATTCTCCTCTATAAGCTAGACTCCCTCGTTGGACTACATCTCCAATGAGGCACCATGGTCTCCCACCTTGGTGAGGGTAGGCAGTGCATCCGAGGAGTCCTGGGCCATGGTGCATCGAGAGAAAGACAGTCTTGGCGACACTTCTCAGGTACAAATGATATTGGGGGAATGAGGCACCTGAACTACAACTCCCATGAGGCATACGGCAGCATAGCCAAAATGAAATATTTTGTTTTTTTAAATAAATATTTGAAACTTTCTGCAGAAAGCAGACATTGTTCATTTCACTTTTCAAAAAATGTATTGAAACCCCAATTTTCCATTTAAAAAAGTTTTGATGCAAAACTTTTGACCAACCCTAAAACGAATGCACTTTTGAGCCTGTTAAAAAAAATCCTAGTCTAAATCATTGCACATTTTGACATCCTCAGTTAGTAATGACTTAGTGTATATTAAAATATTTATTACATTGGCTGAAATGACTTATCTGGAATAAACTTGGCTGCCTCTTCAAATTCCTAAATGTTCCATAAAAAGCACAAGTTCACCACAGACTAAATCCTCTCTTAAGCAGACAATGGTCCCCAATGACATACGGACTGGAAAGTCATTCCTGTAGGGGCAAAAGGATCAGCTGTCCCAAAGTCTTAGAGAAAAGACTGACAGGTAAGTGACCTCTTTCTTGCATCTGGATCCAATCATTCTTAACAGATGGGAAGCAGTCAGCAGTTAAGTGAAGAGTTAGGCTGGGAAGTGTCAGAAGAGGGAGAACTGGGAAGACAGGAATTATGAGGTTACTTCAGTGCGGATTGCCTTTTGCCTAAGGATGCTGTTGCACATGGATGCTGGTGGATCCAGTTTAAAATGCCTTGTGAAAGCGTGGAAACACAGTCTGGTGGCAGCTTTGCCAATCATGGTAGCTGAGACTTAGAACTTCGCCACCCACAAAATAACAACAGATCTTATTGAGTTCACACTTGGTTCCTTGGAGATGCACAAAGTGTTTTTATTTTGTAGGCGTCATCAAGTACTTTTGTTTTTATCTTCCATGCTATGATGTCTGCGGGGTTTCTTCTTTTGATATCATGGGTGATGGGCTACAAATAGCAAGTTGGTCTTCTGGAAAGATTCCTACTCTTTCAACTAGATCTTGCATGACACTTGGAACCTGCTTATAGAATGAGTACTAAAACTGACCTATTGCTCCAGCCTAGAAGTGCAGTGGGCTTGCAGTAATGTGGTTTGAAATCAGGCTGAGATAAACCATTGCAGTGGGGGTTTGCACTGGTGTGTAGCTATATTGGTGCAAACACTCTCAGCACAGACAAGCCCTAAGACTATGCCACCATTTTCTTCCTCTTGTTGTCACTTTGGCCAGTATGATGTGAGTCCTATGCCCTGAGATCTCTGCAAACTCAAATTACAATGTAATCAGCGAGCCAAGAACCACTGTGTCTTTGGATGGGTGCATTACTGATACTCAACTGACAGTTACTTGGAGTCTTGCCATGCCCCTTTTCCTAGATCACAACTACCGTGAGAGCAAGTTAAATGGACTCTTGGCAAGTGACTGCAAGACCAGAATCAGGCACCAGGCAGCACACGTTAATCTTTTAGTTGCCTCCAAGTTTCCTGGTACTTTCTGAAAGCTTTCATTTAGTATCTGTAGTGAGCTGGAACCTACGAGTCCTGAACAGGCTGGAGTGGAAACATTCTCCTGCCCGGAAGCTGTGGCCATCACAGATAATCCATCTTTCCTGTTTTAGCTGTTCTTCCTTGGGACTAGGAATGGTAAATCCTCCTTTCTATCCAGGAGGAAAGATGAGCTTTGCCTTAGGAGCAGGAACAGGCCTTTTGTTTCTTCTACTCCATGATACTGAGCATGGCCACCTGGCTTGCAGTGCTCAGGTAGAGTCAAAGCACTGTGCCACGTGCGGGAAAGGACAGCAAGGCGAAATCAGGTAAAAAGGGGACAGTTCAAAATCAGAAAAAAGATGAAAATTTGGAGAGTTGAGCTGCAGTGCGCTGCCTGCAGAGGCAGAACATTCTGGAACAGGAAGTAGATGGGTGGGCCTTGTAAACATCCTTGTGCCAGTAACTGATAGCTCTAGCTGCCTCTACATGGTTAGTGAAGGCACCCACCGCCTTTTGTGCAGCATTGCTGAACCCAAATTGGGCAAGCTGCTAGGCACACATTGTTCTCTGCCTATGATAGTTGTTTTGTTTGTGTTCTCATGCAGCTGAAAGCTTTACTGTGTGTGTTAAGTTTGCATTAGGGCAAATAGGGCAAAAACATACATGCACGTCATTCAAATCTTGACCAGCTAATCTTATAAAACATAGAGGAATCGATTTATTTAGGAATGGGACAAGTGGAGAAGGGGATGGGATAGGAGAGAGGGTCTTTTGCTCTTTGGCCAGGACAGGAAACACTGATTTAAAAATGCCTTGAAGAAAAACTGTGAGGCAGAAAACTAGGACAAAACTTTCAAACCTGGGTGCCTAAAGTTTGATTTTTATCATCCATTTTTAGGCAGTTGGCTACAAATGGCTTAACATTCAGAAGAGCTAAGTACCCACAAATCTCGTGGAAGTCAATGGGAGCTATAGTATGGTTGAGTGGAGAGGGTCCTGGACTGGGATGTGGGAGACCTGGACTCTGCCACTGCCCTCCTGGGAGACCTTGGGGAAGTCACTTTGCCTCTTTGTGCCTCAGTTTCCCCAGCTGTAAAATGGGGGTAGTGATACTGTGACCTCCTTTGTAAAGTGCTTTGGAATCTACAGATGACACACGTTATGTAAGAGTTAGGTGCTATATTCTATTATTAATGGCAGAGCTAGGAATAATCAGCTGTGTGACCCTGAGCAAGTCATCTTCACTTTTCTGTACCTGTTTCTTCTTCCACTGATTATCTGTCTTGCCTATTTAGCTTGTAATCTCTTCTGGGCAGGTGCTCTCTCTTCCTATGTGTTTGTACAGTACAGTGCACAAAGGGGCCCTGATCTCTAGGTGCTACTCTGTGTAATACAAGTAATTACAACATGGTGTGCTCAGCAGCTTTGGAAATCAGGCCACTTCTATTGAGTGCCTAAAAATGGAGTTAGGAGCTGACAATTGTCCCTAACCTTTTAAAATAACTGGGGTGGTTGTTGTTTTTGATAGCTTATGGGCAGATTTTTCAAAGGCACCCAATGACTTTCGGTGGGAGTTGGATGCCTAACTCTCCTTTGTGCCTTTGCAAATCCGTCCCTTAATGGATAACTCTATGCACTGACACAACAGGTGAGACCCCACAGCACCTCACGTTAGTTGGGGTTGGGAGCAATATTCAGTCTGGGGGGGAAGGGAAAAGAAATGTATTCTGCCTGTAGCAATTGAGAGTAGATAATTACAGACCAGCATTGCCATCTTGGAGACTGCTTGCCTAGGGTGCAGGTAGTGACTGTAGCTGCTCCGTTGTGGGTAGGATTATAAAGAGGGGCTGGGAGAGATAGCAAAAGGAAATATGCTCCTAATATTATTCCCACTCATCCAGGCAAAGATAATTTACTTTCAGTTTTCAACAGTTTTTGAAACTGTAATAAAAAGAGAAGCACAGTGATGGTTCAGGTCCTTGATCAAAGTTGAGAAGGGTCTTGGCTTTTCTCTCCTATATCCTCTCTTAAAAACTACATTTTGAGACCATAATTAGGGGCTCAGATTTGCAAAGATGTTTAAGGGAGTTGGACGCTACCTACTTTAGGCCTCTTTGAAATCCCAGCTTAGTGTTTTTTGGGGGGGATTTTCAAAGGCACAAATGGTAGTTAACAGTTTAAGTCAGTTGTGGTTAGTCACCTAACTGCCACTTGTGCGTATGCAAATCCTCCCTCTCCCCCACCGTGTTGGGAAATGATCTTTCCCTGTCCTGGTGTGCAACACTAGGAAGAAGTTTCTTTAAGGTGGACATTTAGCATCTACAGAACAATCATCACTTTATTAAACATGTTTGGGGGTTCAGAAAGGACTTTCCGAAATAAAGGGATGTGAAAGAACCTCAGGACGCCAACCATTTCATCTAAATCTCCTCTTGAGTCACTCCTGTTGCTTTGGGAAGGGAAGGCTTTTCTTTGAAAACAGCTTTCAGAGGATTGGTAATCAAAGGAAAATCCTGAAACCATCCTGCTGTGAAAACATAATTCCTAAATGGCTATAACATGATAACTATTCCCAATGTCCTAACTGAGTTTTTAATTAGCTCTTGCTCAGGCAGACCTTCCAGTAGGCCTGATTTCTCATCTCACACCAGTGTAAAACAGTTGCAACTCCAAAGAATGTAACTCTAGCGACTCTTGAGTTACACCTGTGTGAGGGCAAATCAGATCTAGTGAGAGATTTGCCTGAGTAAGGACCTCAAGATTTGGCCACTAGTGCGTCTCTTGAGGGGGAAGGAGGGAAGGCTGTTTATAACTGCCATACGTTTGGAAAAAATGGAACAAATGTAGTCAAGTTGAACATGAATATTTATTTGTAATAAAAACAAATTTCCAGCATAAAACAATTATAATGTACAGAGTAGATAAACAGGCACTCACATGATCACTCATAAATACATCAGGTAAAAGAAGAAATAAATCAACTGAACAGCACTGACAGCTAACCAATGTGGTTAACTCATTAAGTCAATAGAAAAGCAAAATGTCCTTTTCTGCTGTGGCAGTTAAAACACATACGCAACCGATATGACAGGTCAACAGGTAATTTGGTCTGCCCCATTCAAGAGGAAACACACAGGTACTCTCAGATAAGAGCTCTTCACATTTATGTCAGGCTAAAATTGTATCTGGTCCACCATGTTGGATGATAAAGGCAATGTCAAATCTACGCAGCTCCTCACATGCCCATCCTTATACTCTGAATGATCTGAAAGATAGCTGAAACAAGGCAAAAAGAGAGGCTGTTCAAATGCTGGTTAACTTTCCTGAAATTCAATCCTGTACTCTGATACTGCTGCTGTAAACAGCTGAATGGCTCCTGTTCTCACATGCATGATTAGATGTTATCTAGCAAGTGCTTCGATCAGTGGACTTCTTTTGAATAGCGGCCTACTCCCCCCACTGATGCAAAAAGGATTATGCAGGTACCGTCTAGGAATGCTAATGGAAGTACCATGCGTAAATCCTCGGGCGCTGATGAGGGATTAGACCCCTTCGACTAGAGTGTGTGCAGCGGCGCTGCCAGGCACAGCTGCGTACACTTAACAAGTTGGTGGGTCTCTTTCTTGGGAACAATCACTTCTTGTTACAGGCTGTTTATAAAACGGCTCCTTATAAGTAGGTAGACCAGTAACAGGAATACAACCTCTCACAAATCTGGCCTACTTTAATTATTGCTAAAGCTTATTTGTAGGGTTGGGCCATCTAAACTCCTGTATTATTCCATACCGTGGGCTCAATCCTGCAAAAATGCACTCATGTGAGGAGCTGCATGAAAGTTGATGGGATGATTTTTGGGAGTAAAGTTTTGCCGGATGGGGCACTGTCATCTCAAGCCTGCAAACAGATCAGTTCCAGTGGACCCATGCAGAGCCCCCCGTATGTGTGTCTCCCACAAAGACTCACAGGACTGGGGCCTATGTTTGCAGCCCACAAACAAGAGCAGTGTTGACTACTGTTTACTAGCCGTTAGGGATGCAAATCTCAAATCAGAAGATAGTCTTCAAAATGGGACAGTTCACTAGAACTGGCTAAATGGAAATGAGGTACCTGGCATTGGCTGCTGTCGGAAGACAGGATACTGGGCTAGATGGACCTTTGGTCTGACCCAATATGGCCATTCTTATGAGGCCGATTCTGCCATCACGGTTGAAACAGAAATCTCTATTGGTATCAGAATTGATGGCACAAACTGGTACTATACCTCCACAGAGAAAAAGACCCGAGCATTGAGTAACTGTATTTCCTGTCCTTTAGTATAGTTAATACACGAATTACTAAGGACTTGATTCTGCAGACCTCATGCAAGCAAAACTCCCACTGATTTCACGGGACGTTCAATACGTTGAAAGGCTGCAGGATCGAGCCTTAGTTCTTAATTATACAAACAGGACATAAGTTCTCTTCATCTGTACCGTCACTGCCTCCTAATCCCCCAGCTCTGGAACGGCGTCCGTCTGCTGGAACCAGTGAGCGCAAGTGCAGGAGTCAGGCTGTGCTGACGCAGCTGCAGATGCTGAGCACGTCCCGTGAAAAGACACGTGCCCTGGAAATGTATTTTCATAGAGCTCCCTCGTCTGTTGCCCTTTTAGAGCTTTGAGGTGTGTGTTTGGAAAACTTACGAAAAATTGAGAAAAAACTTGTTTCCTTTTAAACCAAGAAGGTAAAAGGCATAAGATCGGGAAGCGTCACTTTGATTGCTGAGCTGCAGTAATCGATGCCGAGTCTCTGCCCTCATCCTGCAGACGCTTGAGAAGTTCCACTGAAGTCAATGAGGGCATGGCTACATCGTAGCTGGGACGGTGCTTCCCAGTGGGGCTAGCCAGACACGCATTCGCTCGGCTTGAGCTAGTACGCTATAAATAGCAGTGTGGCCACAGCAGCACAGGAGGCGGCTCCGGCCAGCCACTCATGTAAGTACCCAAGGGGCTGGGCAAGTAGCCCAAGCTGCCACCTTAGCCACAGTGCTATTTTTAGTGTGCTAGTAGGTGTCTGTCGACCCACCCTGGGAAGCACGTTTCCAGCCGGTTTACAGACGTACTCCATGGTTAAGGACTCCCTCTACAAGGGTTTGCAGAGTCAGGCCTTCATTTTGGACACAAGGCCAAACCCATTTTTTTTTTTAAGGTAATACTTAAAATAATGGCCAACTTCAGGGGACAGATGTTCTGCTGGTGTATGTAAGTCAAGGAAGTGATGCCAAATTCCAGCAGCTGAGGATCTGGCTCTCGAACTCTCTTATCTGTCTATCATAGAGCTTTTTCTGCCACTTATCACTCTGTTATCTGAGCACCTTCAGTGGAAAATCAATAGCAATAGCGAAGTCCACAGTGGATTTCATGGAGCCTCTGGCGGTTCTTTTGGGTGGAAACTCTGCTTGGGGTAGGGTTTGTGGTTTTGATTTTGTAGGTGTTTTTAATACATGATTTTGTTTGTTTCGTATTTTGTTCTGTAAGTGCTTTTATAATTCACTTCTCTGAGGTTTATTTTTCTTGCTTAAATAAACAGGATTCCTCAATCGAATGGGATTTGCCCTGCAGTCCAGCCTCTTGCAATATTATACTAAATTGAATCACAAGTCGATTAGGCTATGGAGCAGCAAAACTAGTGAAAATCACCTGCTTCTGTCACCCTGTCGGGCCCAGTTTGTCTGACCCATTGTATTGTAGAAAGCTACTGTTTTTGCAACAGGGTCTGTAAAAACCAAACTCCACAGAGCATCTAGCTCTGCCTGTAAACCAGTGAGTGAATCTGTTTAATAACATCTGATTCCGAAGTGCAGCAAGGAACAGGAAGACGGTGGAGTTGCTGAGGAAGTTCAAAGAGAGAGAGAGAGAGAAAGGAAGTGGGGAGTCTAGACTCTGAGAAGTTAATAACTTAACGGTGGGAGAGCAGAGCTGAGAGAATAACAGTGCCAGTGAGTGTATGGCTGAGTAAGAGAAACGAGGGAGACAGAAAGGAAGGCACTAAAAGGAGACAATATTCAACATGGACATTAGAGCCCAGAAAGGAGGCCTGTTAGTAACTAGCAGATCCAAAGGATTATTAATAAGCGGAGTAAGTTCTATTGGTTGCATAGCAGCATCTCAAGTATTAAAAATACAAGGATAGCTTAGTAGGCATGAAGCAGGGGCGTTAAAATGGTCTTGAGGTCCTGGGTGCTCTGACATTGTGACAGTGCGACTGCTTTGTGTTGGGAGACCAAGGGTGGCATTTGTAATTGTGCGACTAGTCAGGGGCCTTCAAAAGGATTTGAGGATCCTCAGCACCTTGCTGGATTCAATCCCCAACTCTAAAAGGCAGAAACTTTCACTACATGTTCATGCTGCAAACCTTGCAGAAATAAGGAAGCTGGCAGAATAAAATGAGTTGCAGTCGGAACAGGCAGCAGGGTAGAGGAAAGACAAACATAAAAACCCATCTAGGCTGAAGAGCTGGACACAGGAAGATGTGAAATTGAAGGAAGTGTGTATAGGAAATGAAAAGGAGGGCGAGTTGAGTAGGTCCAAGTTAGCCACAGAGGAGCATAAAAGGAACAAACCAGCAAAATGAAATTGTGTTAGCTCTAGGGAGGAAGAAAATTAGTCACAAAGAATAAAGAATCTAGAAATACAATCAGAAAAGTGAGGGGTCAAAGAGAGAGGGGAGAAGGACCAGTGAAAACAAGTCAGCTCTCTAACCTAGCTGGAAAGCTTCATTTATCTTGTATTGGAATAAATCACTATGGGTGCTCAGTTTTCAACTCGTTATAATAAAAATGGGACAACCTCCTATAGGATTCAGGGAAATTAGAGACAATTGCTGGAGATGCCAGGAGCAGAGAGTAACAAAGAGTTGGTGCTAGAGTGCCGGATGGAGCAAAGTATCTATAACCGTGGACACGATGCCCCTGATGATCCTAAAAGAAGTTGCAAAGGAAATCTTGCAAGCTCTCAGTCTCTTCAGTAAACGCTGTAGGTCAGGAGAGGTGCCTGTAAAAAGGGCAAAGGGAGTAGGAAGTAACAAGAAGAATATGCACTGGCCAATTAGCTTGACAGTTGTTCTAGGCAAACTCTCTGAACATACAAAATAAGAGTCAATGTAAACATTTGGGAGAAAGACATCTCTACACCAACATGGGTTTGTTAAAATAGATCACTCCACACAATTACCTTTCTTTGCTCTCTTTACTGATTTAGTTAATAAATGGATGGATTTACCAAACAACTCCAGTTCAGGTAAATTCACTTACATCCCCCAATGATGTACAGATCCTGTACCACGCCATTAGAATCTCAGCTGGCCTTGGAAACCAGACAGCTTTCACAACAATAATACTTCATGCTCACATGGTTACTTTCATTCTAGGGTCTCAAAGCACTTTGCAATCCTTAATTAATGTTACCTCACATCGCCTCGGAGTGGTGAGCATTATATCCTTTATACAGATGAGTGAACATAGGCGCAGTAAGGTAAAGTGAGTTGCCCAAGTTCAGACAGTGAATCAGTGGCAGAGCTGAAAATAGTAGCTTGGCTTTTGGGTGTCTGGGACCTTCATCTTAATAAGATTTTTCTTATACCAGTATATTTTAATTCTACTATAGTGACTAATACCAAGAAGATACAAATACCAAATTGTGGATTAGAAATTGACTGAGGATCTGAGGAGCAAAGATATTGTAAATGGCAAGTTCTCTGTATGTGGTGTCACAGGCACATACTAGGACCCAGATTATTTAATACATTAATTAGTAATCTAAAGGAAGATGTAAATTCAACCGTGCTCAAACTGTTGACAATCTCAACCTTGCAGGATGAGCCAGTTACACAGAAGGATAAGAATCATTTTGTAGAGTGGGCTGCATGCAGTGAGATGAAATCAAATACGAAAGCCATTCACCTAGGAAGAGGAAGTAAGCAGCACTGATATAAACTGGAGGACAGCTATCTGGGAAACAGGATGTCTGCAAAGACCAAGGGGTGATAGTAATATAGCAAGCGAAATATTAGGTTCAAGTGCAACATCACTGCAAAACAAGCAAACGGAACAGAAACCATTGCTGGTCTCAAATACATAAATAGGCTCACATGTATAAACTAGAGCGATAATAGGGCCAGACCATGTAGCAGACCTGAAATATTGTGTTTCTTTCCAGTCCTCAACATTTAGGAAGTAGATACAAACACAACACAAAGGACACAAGGATCGGGTTTATAACCTACGGGGGGAGAGAGAGGGAACTAATTGGGCATGTTCTGGAAAAGAGAAGACTAGGGGAGGGCTGGGAGAAAACATGATCACAGTTTTATAAATACCTTCAAGGTAATAACAGAAATGAAGAAAGGGAATTATTCCATTCTCAGAAGATGGTAGATAAGGAGCAATGGTCTGAAGCTAAGGAAGGAAAAAAGTTCAGGTTAGACATTAAGAAAAAGTTCTCAACAGTAACAGCCATTGGGGTGGAGGCTACCAATGGAGGTGACTGGATAGTGGATAAGACATTTGCAGGAATTAAGTGGAGACTAGTCCTGCAAAATGTAGGGATCACACTACACGATCCAAGTGGTCTTCTCTGGCTTTAATATCTGTAAATCTTAGCTACATAAGCTAGGAATTCCCTTCCTCATGCAGCAATAACCCTGAAAAACCTTTTCCAAAATGCCACCCTCTCAAAACTGAGGTCCACATTGCAAATGGAATGGTAGCCGTGCAGGTACTTCATCCAGTGGCACAATCTGGCCTTTGATTTGCATGGTGCAAAGAGATGTGCGATGGGGGCAGGTACCATGTTGTTTGTTACATGGTTGTACTGTGCCTGGCACCCTGGGGATGGGGCCCACAAAGCAAATAATAATTAAAAGGGTTACAGCAAAAGCTGTGTGCGATTGTAATAGCCCAGAAGAACAGCCCTGAAAATGTTTGTGGAAAAAGGAGGCATTTGTCTAATGGATTCACTACTGAAAGAACAAACATAGCCATAGCCAATACATTACTGAAGACTAAAGTCTGATCAAGCTCTAAAAATGACCAAGATAAACATCTAAGCCACATTATTACGATGTCTCTTCAGATAATGAAACCAGTTCAGTGGTTCTCACTCAGGCAAAACTCCCATTTCAGTCACTGATTGGTTAGCATGAGTAAAGAATGCAGGGTTGAATTCCAGATCACAAAATGTTCGTTCTTGGCAATCAACTGGATGTACTCTCCGTCATTTAGCACCAGCATATTTATTTATCTTCTCTGCATCTCCCATGTTCAGCTGTTTAACATACTTATTTTTAGAAAATAAAACTAAGATTTTGATTTTGTTTTATTGACTTATTTTCAATTACATTTTTAAAAAAATCACTCGTTTTTTGTCACTTTTCTTAGAGTTTTTGTTGTTGTGAGGTCTGGGGTAGGGGCTGCATGTGTGCTGTTTGGCCATCACTGCCGAGTACAGTGGAGCCCTCCCCCGCAACAGAAATAATAACTAACTACGGAGCTGCACTTTGACCCTGCTCTTTCTTTCTGCCAGAGCATGTTTGAAACCACTTGATGTCTTGTCATGGGAAGGAACTATTATTTCTTGAGACACTGACATCACAACTGATGTGTCTAAAAAGCACCGTCGTCTTTATTCTTAGTTAGAGGCCACGAGAGGGAAAAAATAAACATGAAAGTTCACAGGACACCAAAGACATGTAATGGAGTTGGGAGCTGCAGGCTAGCTGAAGGCCCAAGAGTTTGCAGCAGTCTAATGCTATGCTCTACATGATTATTAGCTTTAGCAATACATAACTATAGGGACAACCCTCATTCACCAAAAACTCCCAACTGACTTTGGTGGGAGGGAGAGATTTGAGTGCATAAGGAATGAGGCATCAGAAGAACACATCTAGCTGCAATGGGCCGTGGTGGATTTACCATAACTACCATTTGTTTTTGGGGGGAGTTGAAATCCTGCTTTAAGACTAGGTGAAAAAATAGGAACAGAAAGTTCTCAAAAATGGCATTCATTAAGTCAGACATCAACACAAAGGCCTCTGCATTGCATTTCTGAAAGCAATGCAATACCAATGGACTACTCATTACTCCAGGGTGGGTCTACCTATGACCAGTTCCATATTGGGGCTCTTAAAAAAATTACTATCAAACACACGTCAATTCTTGTGAAAGATCTTAGATTGACAACCTGGGGAAAGAAACTCCTCTGGGTACAAAACAAAGGAAGTGGAATCATATGCTCCCGCACACTACTGAATCTTAACTTGGCTCTGGAAGGTAGTTAAATCTCTCCCATTCAGTGACCTCTTCTCTGACTTTGCCAATAAGTGTGCCACCTGCAGCCAAACTGTAATGCAGATTTTGTGATTTGGACACCTGTCTGCTAGGAACTGGACTGCTGTAAAGAACTCATTTTGTTTGGGCCATTGAATATATTTCGCATTCATCACATGGTAACACTATTACCATCCCAGCCCAGGTTCAAACCTGCAGCCTAAAGGTGAAAGAAAAATTAATAGGACATGGAACCTGAGCCATCCAGTCCCACATAGAAACGAAACTCCAGTTTTAGACTGAAAGTGGAAAAAACTTTCCTCTTAAGATGCATTTGTTCTAAGCAAGACTATATAATTATCATTCATTGCTTAAGATTTGAGAGGAAAAATATATTAAACCACTTGCAATCTCCAGAAACTTTTCCTAAATGCTCATGTAAGTTTCTCTGGGACAGATCCAGAGCCGCACTGTATGCTAAGCATCAAATTCTATTCATAAATACACACGCAGAGGTTCCCATTGGCTGCAGTGGAAGTTGTGTGCATGCGTCCTGGGTCAGAATTTTGTCCACAAACTTTTAGGGTCTGATCTCACTCCCATTGAAGTAAATGGGAACCATGCCACTGACTTCAGTGGGAGCTGGATCAGGCTCTTAAATGCTTTTCTACTGTCAGCTCAACTCCCTCCCCCGCCCCTTCTTTATCTATTCTCAGTGGTGTGTTCATACCTGATCCACAGACAACAAAAACAAACAGTGCCAGTAGCCATGGTCCTACAGGATATTTCTCCTCTTGGGGCCTCTAAAATGTGGGGGGAAAAGAAGATTTCAGTTTGTTACCAGTTTAACCAATTGTCTTGGTAGCTCATTTAAAAATAGATGCAGAAAATCAAAATAAAGAACTGGCATGGTTTCAGCTTCAAACCTCAAACAGTGAACATACTCAAAAGGTCTAAGGTAAAACAGTTTACACCATTGTCATAACTGCTTCACAGGAATGCTAAGAAGGAAAGGAAAAGCTGAAGCACAATATGCTAACGGAAGAGTAATAGAGGATAATTGTATTTACAGTAGATCAGACAGCTTAATTCAACATTATTGAAATCTCCCGTTTCCCCCCCTTTAAACAGAATAATGCCTCTCACAGATTCTCTGCAGATCAGTTGTCTTGAATTTCTCTAGGGAAAGGTAAAGTGAGTTTTATTCCTCAATGTTTGCTTATCTATTTCTGTCCTCTCCCCTCCCACAGTTGGGCTGTTTAGTAGTCTCCCTTGTTGTATCTATATTTTAAGTTCTTTGAGACACAAAACATGTTCTTAGGTATTTTCTGAGATACCTAATAGATGTGGGATGCTTGAAAAATAATTATGTTCCCTGACTGGGTTGTCACTTTAGAACAAAATATATATCTTACAGCCAATTCCCATCCACTGGGAGAGGAAATTGTTAAAAACAATATCAAAGGACACTCATTTTTTTATTTTATTTTGGTCAGCATGTGCCAAAAATATCCTTAAGTTAAATATACATTTGATAAACAGTCGGAACTGTTTAACTGCATCTGAAGAAGTGAGTTTTTTACCCACGAAAGCTTATGCCCAAATAAATCTGTTGGTCTTTAAGGTGCCACCGGACTCCTTGTTGTTTTTGTGGATACAGACTAACACGGCTACCCCGATAGCAGTCGGAGCTCTAGTCAGTTTATTTTAAGGACGCCTGACTGAATGTTCTAACAGGTCACTTGGAAGGGGAGAGGAAGGAAGGAAGGAAGAAAGTTGATGGTCTTCTATGGCCATTTTGAACTGCTGACTTCTGTTTTGATGTATGATTATTGTTTGGAGCCTAGAGCACTAGATAGAGGCTTTTATAACTAAGAATAAATACAAACATGTTAACTGTAAGATTCCAAGGACCACACAGAGGGAAGAGGTGGATAGATGGACTTAGAAGCTTCTTACCAACCAAGACATGAGCAGATGGTTATATGATGACATGAGATACTATGGACATAATCAATGGAAGTAGAGGATTCACACAGCACTAAGATCAGGACTGGGCAGGCAAGTAAAGGAGGAATTGATAGTCATATCTGGGTTCAGGCTGTGGAATTGTGCATACAGGAAGGATGGTTGTGTGATGCTCGCGGTCACTGGAGATCTGGTTCAATTCCAAGCTCTGACACTGACCTCTTGGGTGACTTTGGGTAAGTCACTTAATTTCACTGTGCCTTAGTTCTCCATCTGCAAAATGGCGACAATAATACTTGCTTTCTCCCAACCGTTGTCAGTTTAGACTGTAAGTATTTTGGCACAAAGACTGTCTATTACTATGTGTTTCTACAGTGCCTAGCTCAAAGGGACCCTGGTCTTGGTTGAGGCCCCTAGGGGGTACTATGCTACAAATATGAATAATAATGGGTCTGCAGTCCTGATCCAAAACAGCTTGATTTCTAGAAAGCTAGAGCTGCTGCTACTATCTAATTCTAGAAGCGCTGTGTGGAAGAAGTGCCAAGTGAGTGGAGGCTGAAGGCAGAAGAGTGGCCAATGGAAGGAGAATGGCAAAAGATGGGGTGAGAGGAGAGAAGTAAGCAGACTGGGAGGGAGAAGGGGGAAAAAGAGAGAGAAGGAAGGGAAAGGATAGCAAAAAGGTCAGAAACAAAGAAGAGTGAGAGGAGAAAAAAAAGGGATGACAGAAAAGAGGAAGGTAGCATTATCCAGTGTATAGGGCACCAGACTGCACATCAGAAGACTTGGGTTCTATCCCTGGTTCTTCTACTGACATGCCCTCTTAACGTGGGTGTGTCATACCACCTCTCTGTGTCTCCATTTCCCCCATCTATTTAAACAGTGCTGCTAATGCTTTTTAAAGCACTTCAAAATCTCTGGGCAAAAAGTGCTACATATGGGCTTAATTCTCCATCATTCATCAGTGGGATTTTTTCCATTGACTTGAATGGGGCGCAGGATCAAACCCTAAGTGCTCCGTATTATCAGAAACAGGAGAGGCATCGAAATAATAAAAGAAAGTCACAGACAATTTGTTTCACCAGAGATAAGGTCTGTTGTTAGTCACAGACACTTCATTCAGAGAAGCTGCTTCACACATCAGTGAGTGGTAGGAACAATAGAGAAAAGCAGTCACGTGACTTGTGGTAAAGAAAAAACGAAGGCATGTCCCTTACTTTTGGCCATTGGCAGGGCACTGCCCCACAGCATAGCATTTTTAAATCAACTTTAAAACATTTTAATTTAAAATGCATTTATTTTTTTAAAAATAACTCGACCTGTTGTGTTAAGGATTTGAAAACATCAGCAGTTTTAATGTATTTTTAAAGAGCATTTCATGTTACCTTTAAGGTGATTCAACCAGGTTAATGCTAGATTAGAGGCCAAAGCTAATTGAATAGAAATCCCGTTTTCTAGGCTAGCTCAGTCACTCAGGAGTCTGGGATGGGGGAGTTTTAGGAGATTAGCGTAGACCAAGCCCAAATCAGACTTATTTCAGTATAACTACGATGCTCAAAGGTGTAGAAAATCTACACCTCTGAGCGACACAGTTATACCAACCTAACCCCTGGTGTAGACAGTGAGCACTATGTTGACAGGAGGGCTACTCCCATTGACATAGCTACTGCCTCTCGGGGAGGTGGAGTACCTACGCCAATGGGAGAAGTTCTCCCGTCCGCATAGGCAGCATCTTCACTAAGCCCCACCGTGGCGCCGTTGCAGCCTTACAGTTTACACTTACAGGTGTAGACAAGCCCTATGTGTCGAGAGCTTCTTGGCAAAGCAAAAATCCCAACTATGAATTTCCAGCAGTTCCCTGACATTATAGTAACAGGCTTCTCTTTGAAACAGTTCACTCTTGGTGTGGAGGAGAGCTCTGAAAGGATAGTGAGCTATTAATAAACACTCAAGGGTTTGTGGGTGGAATTAGAATAGCAAGAGCTCTAAACAACTTTGAGGAAAGGGGAGCTAGAGCTCAAATGAAAATCTCTCCCATTAACCAGCTTTCTAAGAGCACTTTTGAACACTGAATTTAAGCAGCTGAAATGTCGGTAGCTCAGCCCAGTCCACTGCTAATAACCAAATGCATGCATCTGAGCACAGTTAAGCTCTTCGATTTTCTATCTCAGCGTATACAACTGGAGCATAAGTGCCACCTTTATTTAAAGTAATACGCAAGATTTCGTTAGCTGGAAGGCTATTGCCTCATCCGGTGTGAGGGCTGTTGTCCCAGCTGAGCTGCCAGCTCAGTAAGGGCTCCATTTTATTCCCACTGTACCTGAGGGCAGAAGTGAGCCCTAAAAGATGAAATGGGATCACATCTGAGTTATCTCTTTTGTATTGACATAGGCTTTGTATTGATTAGGAAAAGTGGTCAAGTTTAGGTTGCACTTAGCTAACCTGTAGTAAACTGATCTAAACTCAATTACTTTTCCTCATCAAGACAAAGCCATAAAGACCAACTAGCCAAACAGCTCATTCATATAAAATAGCAAAGAAAAAAGAGATACAGAGGCCTAAAAGCCTTTCATCTACGAAAACACATTTTACAATTAGTAAAGTCAAATAAACTGTTATGTTTTAATCTCTTAAAAAACAGATGCCACAGGAAATAAAACACAATAACTCCCACTAGTGCTGTCCCTGTTAGAGAGCTAGACCCCTTTGGGAGTACACCTCCATGCGTGTGCACTTCCAACAGCTGTAATGTTGCAGCAGCCAGCCCTGCTGGATATTGTTGCATGTTAGTCACCCTAGCTGGGGATGGATGTGTTGTGTGTGCTGCATTCTCTCTTCTCAAGTGGCTGGTATATGTGTGTATTTTTCTTTGTGTTACAGACTCTCCCCCTTCTGGGTGTTTAGATGGAAGGTGTGTGTGTGTCAGTTTCTTCCTCGCCTGGTGAACGATTTTGCTGTGTTTTTTTCATGAGACACTGACACTCTCAGTCATCGAGGTGTGACATTTCCTCCAGTCTGCCTCAGCTTGGGACAGGAGCCCCTGATTTAACCATCTGATTGTTCTACACCCCTAGTTAGGCTGGAGCGTTTACTCCCGTCAGCAGCACAAGAAGGATCATCCTGTTTCCCACCCCGGGGCTCCTGTAGCCTGTTAACCCTTTAGCTCATGATTCCCACACCTCCCTACGTGTTGAGCCGAGGAATGGGCAGAGAGAAGCCTTGCCTCCTCGCAATCCCCTCTGCCCCCTCCTCCCATGTCACCTTACCAGGGTTTTGGCTACGTTCCCTCTCTGTGTGATGTTTTTGCTGTGCTTTTCGTTAGCCATCCGGATCCGCTGTTTGGCCACCATCGCTCTGGGGTGGAGATTTAGGGAGCTCAGAAATTCCGGAGGCCACCTGGCTTCTGGGTCTGGTTTGTGACGAGACAGCAGAACACCCCCTTAAAGAACACTCCCCTGACTTGGAGCAAGCGTGGCTGCTACTGCCCTGAGACCCGGTGCTGGTTCCTCAGTACCCCCAGCCGGCTGCAGACTGAGGAGAGGGTGGCTGGCAGGATGGATGGACGGAAGTAATCTCTCATCTCAGGAAACCCTCTCTTGCTTCCTCCTACCCTTCCGGTCCCCCTGCTGCCTAAACGCAGGCAGCAACTACTAGGGCTGCCTGCAGCCTCCGCTTTCCCCTGGCTGCGAACGCGCATCCCGCTTGCACTATGCGGGGCAGGGAGCTGCCAGGGCTCGAGTCGCGCATCCGCCCAAGGTTCTGGCTCAGCGTTCCATCCATGGAGCGCTGCAACACACAAGGTTCTGCGGGAGGGGGCTGCCAAGCGCTGATTGGTGGTTTGAGAGGGAGGGGTGGAGCGAGCGTTCTAACGCGTAGCCCAGCGTGGGCGTGTCCTGCGGCTGCGATAGTGGGGGGTGCTGGAGCGCACTTGGGGTCAGATCTGTCTTCCCCTTCAGCTAAGTCAGTAACAACCTTGTAGGTGGTGCCCTAATTCTGCCCTCACTTGCCCTCAGAATTTGCCCCCTGCCAACATTGGGATAAAAATTGTGTGGGGGTGGGGACCAGGATGAAAACATGAACATAAGAATGGCCATACTGGGTCAGACCAAAGGTCCATCTAGCCCAATATCCTGTCTTCCGACAGTGGCCAATGCCAGGTGCCCCAGAAAGAATGAACAGAACAGGTAATCATCAAGTGATTCATCCCGTCACCCATTCCCAGCTTCTGGCAAAGAGAGGCTAGGGACACCATGGGGGAAGGGAACAGCAGCAAAGTCTAAAGTATGGAGATGGGCCCAGAGGGGACAAAAATTTGGGGAGAGGGGAATGGGGCAAAATGGGTCTTGTACTCACAAGCACCTTTCCTCCTATTTTGCCCTATTTCCTCCTACACATGCCCGCTACTCAGGGCTGTGGTGTATCTAGTATCTATCTAGCCAAAACTGAGATATGCCGTCTCTTCTCTACCAGAAAAGATACAAACAGCTGTCCACTAGAGCAGGAGTTCTCAACCTTTTTCTTCCTGAGGCCCCCTCAACATGCTATAAAACTCCATGGCCCACATGTGCCACAACAGCTGTTTTTTCTGCATATAAAAGCCAGGGCCGACATTAGAGCGTAGTAAACAGGGCAGTTGCCTGGGGCTCCACACCACAGGGAGTCCCCCCGAAGCTACATTGTTCAGGCTTCGACTTCAACCCGTGGTGATGGGGCTCCAGGCTTCAGACCCCTGTCGTGGGGCTTTGGCTTTCCACTCTGGGCCCCAGTGAATCTAACGCTGGCCCTATTTGGTGGCCCCCCCCGAAGCCTGCTCGTGGCCTTCCCTGGTTGAGAACCACTGCACTAGAGGTGTAACTGTGTGTGTGTGTGGTGGGGTCATCTCTCAATCATAAGTGTTGCTATATCAGTAACTATTGTCACACAGAGATCCTCTGATCACAGAAGAAAACCAACCAACCAACCCTTAAGTACATTTCAGAGTTGTGTACAAATCTATATTTCTTGTGCTTTATAAAAACAGGGATCAGGCCCTTATTGGTATGTGTGCCCTGCTCCTACCCGTACAGTAGCTTCTGGTTGACACAAACTTTCCATTCAAGGAAGCAAAAATTAAGATTCTTTGTTATCAAGGCTCTTAGAACAGTTCTTTTTTTTTGGCCTTCACAACATCCTCTGACAAAGAGTTCCCCAGGTTGACTGTGCGTTGTGTGAAGAAATACTTCCTTTTCTTTGTTTTAAACCTGCTGCCTATTAATTTCATTTTGTGCGCCCTAGTTCTTGTGTTATGAGGAGTAAATAACACTTCCTTATTTACTTTCTCCACACCAGTCATGATATTATAGACCTCTTATCATATCTCCCCTTAGTCGTCTCTTTTCCATGCTGAAAAGTCCCAGTCTTATTAATCTCTCTTCATATGGAAGCTGTTCCATACCCCTAATCATTTTTGTTGCCCTTTTCTGAACTTTTTCCAATTCCAATATATCTTTTTTGAGATGGGGCAACCAGATTTGCACACAGTATTCAAGATGTGGGTGTAACGTGGATTTATATAGAGGCAACATGATATTTTCTGTCTTATTATCTACCCCTTTCCTAATGATTCTCTTTCTTGAGTGGTAACAGCTAATTTAGACCCCATGATTTTATATGTATAGTTGGGATTATATTTTCCAATGTGCATTATTTTGTATTTATCAACACTGAATTTAATCTGCCATTTTGTTGCCCAGTTACCCAGTTTTGTGGGACTGACAGTTGGAGCGAAGGGGCTCCAGCTGTTAGCCCCCAGCACTGGGGCTCTGGCTGTGAGCCCTACATACACTGACCCACTTAAGCTGGTGCAAGCGCTCCTGGTGAGGAAACATGCCACTGTGAGAAAGAGGTAGTGTGGACATGAAAAACTGCAGTATTTACTGTGGTGGCTGTATGTCGACCAAATTTAGATCGACTTAAGTTTGTAATGTAGACAAGGCCTTAGTGTAACTTGTTTATTTACGCTATATATACCAATCCTTGAACAGAGAGGTTGCAAACAGCACACAAGCTCCTTCAGGGATCCCAGCCCAGAAAGCAATGCCCAGTTCCCAGGAAGCAACTCTGCCGGAATTGACTCAAGCTAGAGCATTTAAAGAGAAAACTCTCTTGCTGCTTTCAACAGCTTCCCAGCAAAAGTGACATCATCAAAATAAGTGCAATGCAGTGTTCCTTCAAAGACAGAATGCTATTCGTGTACTAAAAAAAATAATTTGTAAGACTACATGTAACAGGTGACTCCTGCCATAATATATGTAGTTAAGAAAAAGTAATAAGTGCATTGCTAAAAGAATTCTACCCTCAGCTGACAAATATATTAACTGATAATGTTTCCCCAATATTGTTGTCTCTCGGAAGAAAATGTTTAGCTACTGAAGTAAAGATTTCAAAGATAATACTTGAGCAAGGCCAGGATTTCAGTCACAAATTCAATATAGCACTGTCTATCCAGGTACACCTCTACCCCAATATAACGCAACCCGATATAACACAAATTCGGATATAATGCGGTAAAGCAGTGCTACGGGGCGGATCAAAGCAAGTTCGATATAACGTGGTTTCACCTATAACGCGGTAAGATTTTTTGGCTCCCGAGGACAGCGTTATATCGGGGTAGAGGTGTACATATATAGTTCCCATCACCATAGTATGTGAGTACCTCACAATCCTTAGTGTATTTATCTTCACAACACTCATGTGAGGTAAAGAAGTGCATCCCTGGGGAATTGAGGCCTAGAGAGACTAAGGCGCAGATTCAAAGGTATTTAGGCCCTAATTTCTGCTGAAATCAGTGGAAGTTAGAATCCTAGAGACCTATGTGGATCTGGGCCTAAGGGACTTACAAGCATGGGTGGCGTGTGAAGCCCCTCTTTGGGAAGGCTAGCCCCTGGCCCCACCCCTTCTGCCCGAGGCCCCTTCCCTCCCCTGCGGGAGCCCCGAGCCCCCACCGCGGCTGGAGGAGTCCCGCCCCAGCTGGCCCGAGTCCTGGGCGGCCTAGCCCCAGAGCACCATGAGTGCCTGATGGTCCCAGCCCCAGAGTGCTGGGTGGCCCCAGTGCCAGGCAGCCCCAGCCCCAACCGGCTGGCCCAAGCACCGGCCCCAGCCGCCCTGAGTCCCAGCCGCTGGCTGGCTCACCTTAGCCCCAGCCCCAGCCCCCGTTTGCTTTGGGGGAGAGGCTAAGTGAGGGCAGGAAGAGGAGCAACCTGGGCTGGGGCCAGGGGGAAGAGCGGGAAGCAAGAGGGGGCCTCTGGATGGAGCATGGGCAGTACTGCGCCTGGCTGTCTGGCCTGCCATACCCGTCGCCCGTCTCCAGGTTCCCCAGGAAGTCTATGGCAGAGCAGAGAATTGAATTCAGGTCTCCCAAATCCCAGCCTAGTAGCCTAACCACTGAGCCATCCTTCCTGAATTTTGCCTTGTTTTCCATTAGCTAATGAGTTAACAGCAAAAAGCCTGAGCTCCTACGGCCTGTGTGAGATATAGAAGTTCTGAGAGCTTCCCCTGGTAGCTGGCTGTAGTGTGACTAGGCAGTTAATTATGTCTGGCCTACAAATTTGGAAATGCCATGTTCAGTTCCCCATCTGACGTTACACAAGTATCAACACCAGTAATATCTCTGTATTGCTCTTCAAAGGGTCTACTGCAGTTCCTATTAAAGTCAATGAGAGAGGACCCCACTTGGCAAAGCACTTAAGTGCATGCTTAACTTTAAGCATGTGCATAAATTCCATTGAAGTAAATAGCACTTTGCTGATTAAGGATGGAGTTAGAGCACATGCTTAAAGGTAAGCACGTGTTTCAGTGCTTTGCTGAATCAGGGCTGAAATGACCATTGACTCTGATGTTATCAGGCTCAGCCCCTGCGCTCGCTGTCACTAGGCACTCAAGAAGTGTAAGTTGCACCCACACCAAACTGCCCATGACAAGACTGGGTAGCCCCTGAGAAGTCCTGATGGTGTATGGTACAGCAGTGTGGTAAGGCATGCTGGAAGAGTGCAGCTCATGAAGGGTAAGGCAAGAATGGCAACAATCCCTTTATCGTTTGGTTTAGTAATTTATTTCTTCCATTTCCCTCCTCTTTCTTTTTCTTTGTGTGTCTGTGTGTGGAGGGGTTGTTAGTTTTGCCAGCTGCAAATGTGCACCAATTCTAATTGGCCAGTTGTTATTGCAGGCTCTGCTTTCATGTGACAGCTTAAAAAAAGCAACTTGAATGCTCTCCTTCTTGTCCTCCTTGCCTTCTCCTCTGTCATCTGACCCACCCCTTATGATCTCTCTCCAGCAAACAGTTTGCCTTTCTTGCATGGTCAGAACTGGAAAT